CGTATATTTGTTCCAGATTTAATATAAATATATCAGACAGATTACTTTTCATGTAGTTCATGAAATTGCACAATAAGGCCATAATATAAGCAATATGTTTATAAAAGCTTATTTTCGTATCTATTAAAGTTTAAGTCTCATGACATACAGCACCCGTCTTAAAATTGAAGATTATCTTTAATACCAGGTTTAAACCACTATTCGACCAAATTAAATCAATACGTCTCAATTTGACAATTTCTCTTCTGTCATTGTCAACTCGCTTTAGGCGGCCAATGCTCTTAACCAAGTACTAACGTTAGTTAGTCCTCATTTTATAATAAGACGGCTATATATAATGAGACGTTTGTGATTTTAATATTGGCATGTCCATTTTCTATATTTTTTTTCTCTCAACAATTCTTTTGAGCGCTGGTGTTATTCTGTAACTGAAATTAACCTATAAAGCTGTAATCGTTGCTACTGTTGAGTGAGAGCGGCCACTTATTTGCTCCGGGCTTCAGAGCGCTTTCATAGATAAGCTCTGGTTTTCGGCGCGGAGAGCGATTCGTCACTCAATGTAGACGGATCGGCTCGCTTCAACAATCTCACTGAACATTATTTATTTCTTTTATTTGTTTTTCTTATTTTCAGATGAGTTGCAGGAATCTTTTCATAGTTTTTTTTTTACATATTTACGAATGTAAAGTCCGTGAGCACTAGACTGCGTTGGTTGTTGTATAATTTATATTTAAAGGTTTTTATTTACTAATTTTGACGAAACCGTATACCTCTAAAAATATAGATGAATTAAAGTCTCATCCTCAGTTTAAGAATATTTGAATTTTTGTGATTCCTTTAACAATAGAAAAAAAACATTATACCAACATTTACAAAGATATTTAATGAAGGCAAAACTATGTAATGGTTTTGTAAATTCTATATGGCATTACAAGGTAGGGAGGCATTTAGAAACATTGCACTGTTTTCATCTATTAAATACATAAAGTAGCACGTTAGGTTACTATGAAAGGTCAAAAGTCAATCAACAGAACAAGGCTTGAAGTCAACTGTACTTCTTAGAATAATCAATTTGCACGTATACCGTAACGACCCGCCTGGGCGTTGCACGGTTTCCACAGCTTCCACCTTTGCATTAAATGATATATTATTTTTGGAATAAAGATTAAAATCGAAAATTCCAGTTTTTAAGTTTCTGTTTCTTGTGCACTCACATAATTCGCTGATGCTGATGTCAAACATGTGATTAAAACTATAATAAAAATATGTTAGAACAATATTTTTATGTGACAAAATAAGTGATCTTGATTGTTATTTATATTAAAATAAGTCAAAATACTTGGACCCTTTCACAGTAGAGTATGGAGTGTACACTCTACTAATATTCCCTGATCTATGCGCAAATGTCAATTAATTCATGGAAGGAGATTGGTCATGAAAATGTTAGCTGGCTCACGGATCATGAACTAAGCGCCTTTTATGCAATCCGTTAAAGGGTTTAGCCGGATACGTATGACGAGTCGGCCCCCAAATGGGAATCGATATTGAAACTTATGTTTTAATATAGACTTGATGTTCAAACACGATTTATGTACTTTTCGCGACCGACTTCCGCTTTGACCTTGAGATAGAGAGCAAAATATCCGTATGCTTGACTATTACTGAATGTGATATATCTCTGAAGCTAATTAAGATAAAGAAGTGAAACTAACGCGAGGTGTTAGGTTACATTACAGAGTATATCACATATATTTTTTTATAATTTTTAGAATAAAAAATTACATTAAAAAAATAAAAATAAAAAAAAACATGTTTTTTTTTCTGAGTTCTCTGTGACTTACAATCACGAAATTAATATATGTTATGCTCCTTTGTGTCCTCTATCACCCATAAAAATTGCGTGAAAAAAAAGTTGGTGCAACACAACGAAAAAAAATTATATGTGATTCGCGCCTTGTAGTGTGAGTGTATAAACAAACAAGTTCGAACTTGTTATCGAGCTGTTTACTGCATCGTTTGTTTAGCTAAAGTAGCAGTCATTTGTATTACACAAGAAGGCAGTTTGGGACTCAAATTCTGTCATAGGTATTTTGTATCAGCATTTTGAAATTATTAACTATCGAACCAAATCATTATTAAGTAATAATGTCGAAAAAGTGTAAAAATTGTAACAAGTACCTGTGTAAGATTCCTGGTTATAAAAAAATTATAAAGAATGAAGAAGAAGCTAAAGTGTTTAGTAACTGTTTGAATAAAATCGTAATAGTTAATGATATTTTTTGTGAGAAGTGTCGACTTATCCCATATATTAACAAAAAAGCTTCTACTTCTAAATGTGCAGCATTTAACTTGGCCGAAATAATGGACGATCAAAATAATCTCTCAGTACAATATGTGAAATCAGCACCTAATATCATCAAAGCAGAAGTGAAATCAAGACATATAAATAGAAAAGTCTATCGAATTTACATTCACTATATTTCCGAAAGTAATGACTACAATAGTATTCTTCGTTATTGCTGTGCTTGCCCCAATGGCAAACGTACAGTGGGATGCTGTTCTCATGTAGCAGCTATTATTTATTATCTATCATATGGATGATATTTGTCCAAAATCGTACGTCCTGCTGAGGTCCTAACTAAGTTATTTGCGACTCAAAGTGTTCCGATTGTAATTAATTACAACAGTGACGATGATTAATATTTTGTTTCTTGTATTTTAATAGACACGAAAAAGTAATAATAATAAGTATTGAACACTGGCTGTTTTTTTTTTCATTTCTTTTTTAACTATTATCCCATCTCTTAAGACTAGTTACTTATGTTTTAAAACAAGCTGATGTGAAATTTCGAAAAAAAACGATGATGTAATGTGAAAACCTTATAATACGGGGGTATACCATAAGACAGAAATCACATATAATTTTTTTTCGTTGTGTTGCACCAACTTTTTTTTCACGCAATTTTTATGGGTAATAGAGCACACAAAGGAGCATAACATATATTAATTTCGTGATTGTAAGTCACAGAGAACTCAGAAAAAAAAACATGATTTTTTTATTTTTTATTTTTTTAATGTAATTTTTTATTCTAAAAATTATAAAAAAATATATGTGATATACTCTGTAATGTAACCTAACACCTCGCGTTAGTTTCACTTCTTTATCTTAATTAGCTTTAGAGATATATCACATTCAGTAATAGTCAAGCATACGGATATTTTGCTCTCTATCTCAAGGTCAAAGCGGAAGTCGGTCGCGAAAAGTACATAAATCGTGTTTGAACATCAAGTCGATATTAAAACATAAGTTTCAATATCGATTCCCATTTGGGGGCCGACTCGTCATACGTATCCGGCTAAACCCTTTCAAAAGGCGCCTAAAGCAATTCACTGGAACTGTAATTAAAAATGAGAAAACTTAATTATATTTTAAACGAAGACATCGGACTAAAAGAGACTTTATAAAAAAAAAACAATTACAAATCTAATCTAGAACTTTGCAAGCGAATTGAATTCAATCTCCTTCTCCGATTTTATAATATAGCAATTTTCTGATAAATAATTAGAACTCTTTTTGTAGCCTCATTCTACGCAATACGTCATCGTCTTAGAACTCACATATTTGTCATCAATAACGATTTCCTACAAGGTCTTACATCACTCTAGTTTTTTTTTAATATATTGGATCACATTTGACATAGGTCTAGTATAAAAGCCGAGAAGAGAATGTTTCCAGACATAAACAAAGAAACTTTTTTTATCACAAAGCTAACTTATCAGCAAGCAATCTTTTGGGAAAAATTGCTCGGATGACAATCGTAAAAGAATATTACGCATTTTGTTTGTGATGTCTTCGTTTTTGTGGGCTTATATAACATGTTGGGTAGTACATATTAATTTATGTGCTAAAGATTTCTTTTTATATACTTTAACTTAACCGGTAGTTTTGAATGTTTCCAAATAAACTAGTGGTAGTTAGTGGTTAACAACATAATGTATAGTATCGGCTAAGGCCAGTTCCACATGACGACTTGATACGTTTACGATATAATTTCTCAAACGACGAATATTTCACTTGTTTTTTCTCTCGTTAAACTTTAGCCGTGTAAAAGTTACAACATAAATGTTAAAGCATAAAAATTTGTCATCTTCTAAAATTTTATCCAGAAACTAAAAATCTAATTGAAGATTAGATTTAAACTTTTTACACATTTATATATAGAGAAGTAGTTCATATTTTTATAAGTATAAATTCAAAAACTGCAGAACTAATGAACAAAGTCTATACTCGTAAGATGATATATTCATCACGTAATTAACGTTAGTCACGGGTTACATGGGTTATATTATTTTGTTATAAGGTTCAGCAAATATGGTCATGTTTACCTACTAATATAATTGGTCTGAGAGCAGGTGTAACATACTCCTACGGTGAAAAAAATCGTCTATACATGTTATAATACAGATTATTTTCACTGTTTTATTTTATAACATTTCGTATAGAGTATATCTCGTATTTTATTCACTATCGCGCATTGAATACGATACTTTGTAGTCGTGTATTTTGATTGTAAATGTTGTGAGGTTACTTTTTTTAAATACTTTTATGTTTAACAATTTACTATGAATTTTATACGTGGCAAATTATCTGAAGATACATAACTAATCAGTTGAATAAATTTAATAAAAGTGGGGTTTATATATTTCACATAATTTATTTATATGTCACAAGGTATAGTCATTCCATAATCAGTATAGTTCATGTCATATCCTTTATTGGAGATATTACTTAAACATAAGGAAAGTAACCAATTATAGAATATAAAAGTATAGGTACTTAATAGGGAATACAGGAATTCCTTCTTAAATTACTCGTATTTAGGAAAAAATTAAGATTTTGAGTGAGAATAAGAATGAATCCAGCAAATCCAAATTTATATGTTGGGATTCGGCGAAAGGTTTTCTTTGGATAATAATTATGACAATTTATATAGGTTTACCTTAGAAAGAACTCGATGGCAAACCAGATGACGACGACGGTCTCCATGTAGAACAGAACGATCCCCGCTTTGGCCTCGTACTCTTCGATCGTGGAAAAAACGGATAGCGACAGACACATAAACACCATCAGGAACCTGTAAGGACGATACAATATTACAACGGGATATTAGTTTTTGTGACTTTAAAAAAAAAAGTCCAATAATATTAATGGTTCCCTATCATGTCATATCATGACATAATTTTGTTTGTACTAATTATAATAGCTCTCACTTAGTTTTAAAGTATCATTTTATTAATTATAATAATGCTTAGCCATTATATTCTAAAGCATAAAAATAACTTGTATGGTATTCGCCGCTCGCTGCCGAAGCATTCACACTTTGCTTGCTGTCTCGCTTTTTGTTATGATCACAATTATAATCTAAACTGACTGATTGGTCGATTAAAGGAATTAAAATTATGTTAAAAATCTTAACGTTAATTATGCCAAAACAAACTGTATATCAAACAAAAATGCCAAAGTTATATAATGCGAAACGGTAATGCTAACGTATATTAGTGATAAAAACAATATGAAAAGATAATACTTTTTTTTCTTCAAAGATCTATGGTGTGATGTTCTAGGTAGTTTTTAAAACAGTACCAGTTTGGTTGTTGGGGTAAAAAAATATGAATTCCGTGAGATATAATTTTATATCAAAAACGGTAATTATGCTATAGTAGATATAGATAGTTATGCTATATACATTTATGTCTTATGAGCGATAGTCAAAAAATATAATATTATGCCAAATCAGTTATGTCAAATATATTTTAGAGCCTAGTGTTTCTCAGAGACTATGAGAAACCTGTTAAAAAAATATGTAAAACATTGATAGATTGAATTTTACTTTATAATATGAAACTATCGATGTTATAAAAATGGATCTTCGTAAAAAAATAATGGTGTGCGCAGTCGATTACCATTAATCGATTTTTCAAATAATCAGTTGCTATCGATTATTATTTCCTAATCGACGATTAACCATCGATTATTTATTTATACGTTAGCAATAGGAATAGTTTAAAACGTTAGTATAGTACCTACTTACTTTACTTCGATGGCTCAGCAACCCATAGCGGATCGCGAGTGTGAATATTATTAGTAGATATTCTAATACTTATTGTGGCAGCCCTGGAATACTCCCACGAACAAATAGGTAACTTTACTCTTTGGTCGGGGAACTCCCGATGAATGAATGAACGGTTCTTACAGTTTTATTTTAACAAATACAAATTAACCCTTTCTTACTAAATGCACATGTAAGTATACACGGTACATACCTATACCAAAATAATATTTGTTACAGATTTTGTCTGTCTGTTGTTCCGACTAAACTCTGAAACGGTTAGACCAATTTTTTACGGGACTTTCACTGGCAGATAGCTTATGTAATAAGGAATTACTAAGGCTACTTTCCACGCAGACGAAATCGCGGGTACAGCTAGTTTAATTCTATAAATTTTGCATGCACAATGCTGGTATAGTAAACATTGTCTCAAAATAGATTTTTAACTATTATTCATTAACTTGGATGGCTTTAAAATACGGTGGAATTAATCTGAAATCATTAATAAACTCTTGAGGGAAAAATATTTAATAATCGTTGACATAAATAGATTATTAATCGATTGCGAGAAATACTGTAATCAATTAATCGATGTGTATAATAATCGAATCGGCACAACATTATAAAAAATATACATATTATATTTCGCTCGTTGGTTTAAATCCAGAGAAATCATTGCTCTTTTAACCATGCACGTGCTCATTTAATTCTAGAGTAGAGGTGAGATTTGCTCAAAATAACTTGATATACAAAACGTGTAGGTAGGTATTATAATAAGCAGTGCAATAAACTAGCCGTCTTTCTGAAATACTGTAATAATCTATGATAAGATTTTTAATAATAGGAATTAGCTCACACTAACACATTTCTTACTAGCCGTTTAGGCGAATGTTTTGAGTGATTTACTGGGAACGAAAAGAAATGAAGGATATATCTGACATGGTACCGCAATGGTTATTTGGGTTATGAAAGTTCTTAGATTGATATTTCGCTGTATCAGTTAAATATTATTACCATTTATCGCGTTCGTTAGGTGCTATTGTAAAGTAATAAATTGATATCCTATGGTAATATGTTACTAAGAAAGAGCTTACACAATCATATGATAGAGGACAGCTTTGAACCCCCGCGGCCGTTCTAGAAAATTGTAGAACTTGGACTGTAGGCGGCGGTAGCGCGCGTCGCGTCGCGTGGCGCGGTAGCTGAGCGGTTTGCCGAGCAGCGACATCCGCGGCGTCGCCAGACGGTCGCCGCCACTCTTACTCTCACTGCAACCAATGGCAAAACAACAATGTTATCGATCAGCTTCAAAAAAACAAAGGGTCCGTTGCGTTTCGTTACTATTTTCCTCTCCTTATCAAAGCAGTTTAATAGGTTAGAGAAACAGAGTAAATTGCCCAATGTTCACGCAATCGCCCTGAAAATTATTTTAAAAAATAGTCGTGAGATAAATGTTTGTCTTATTGTAATGTTTGCAATAAAAATATTTTTTAATAGAACTAAAGATTTAATTTCTTTGCTTGTAAAATATTCTATGGAATGTTAAGTATTAAACTATTTTGGGCTTCTATCTACGTTTTCCTATATAATTTTCGGAAAATCAAATATTATATTGCAATTTTCATAATGCTCCAATTTTCTAACATTACAGAGAAATGAAGTAAACATCTGTCAAATTTCTCAATACGATTTTTACCTTTACGCTTTGAGGGCAGAGTTGTAGTAACCTGACGTGAAGCCGTGTGAAATGATGATACCTTTGTGTAAATGCATTCTCATATTTCTTTTATTATAATTACTTTTTAATTTTATTCTATTTGTAGAGGTGTTGTTTCACAGTAAAACTTCCGTATTCTGTACCTATTATAGGCAATTTGAGTTAGTGTGTTGCCCAGTCATTTATCGGTAGTAATCTCTAAATAAACAAATGAGAATAACTAGTTAACTAAATGATACCATTTAGTTTTGTCGACATTTCGTTGGGTAACGTCTAGCTTTATTATTACTATATCGTGCTTGATGAAATTCGGGCTTCCTACGCTGCTATAATTTCCAACATCGAGATTTATATTTAGCAGTATTGTAATGATTTCTGCGTTTTGACTGTTCCGTTTTGTTACGAGAGCATTTGGTAAAAATATTAGTATATGTTGCCGACTGGCTGGAAAGACACCATTCTTTTTTAAAGTTTATATGTGTCTTAATTTTATGGTTTGTTCTTGATTGTTCGTTCTGATTGCTCTGTCTTTGTGGGTTCCTGTTTTTCTGTATTTGCTGTTTATTATTATACTCCGTACCATAATTTAGTAGTATCAATTTAAAGTCCTCATTGTCACTATTTCCTAAAATTAGTGAATTATTTTTCTCACATGACACACAATGTTCACTAACATTATTAACATTCAAGAAGTTTTGCAGTATCTGCGGTTATTATATTGATTTACAGCATTGTCTGATGTTACTTACTATCACCAGCACATTAGTTTAACTGTAAAATTTATTTAATTGATTTAATAAAAATTTAACGCGTATTGAATATATTATTTTTTGAGGTAGCTTATTGTTTTATAAAAACAGCCTCGAGTTCAACTTCGAGCGTAGCGATGTCATCGCATAGAGGTTTAATGAAATTAAACCTACTTCAATGATTATAAAGACTGCTATAGCACTGTGGACGTCGAGTTCGAAAGCTGTTTTTTTAACAAACTAGCATAGCTGGTGAACTGCGGTGAGTACCGTGAAATAAAATCTCTAAAATACATTGATTTAAACTTGTTTTTAAAGTTGTTACATTAAATCTTTATGCAGTCTTTTTTTTAGTTTTTGCTTAAATATGAAATGAAGATTTTCTTTTTCGTTTAACCTCGGTTGGTTGTACAATAAATGCGTGGGTTGATATATTGCGAAATTGCAATGAGTCTAAAATTAGAATAACGGAATGTATATGCGGTTTTGTATTGTAGGATAACGTGAGGAATTATGAAAATACCTATGAGACATATATCAGAAAATGAGGCTTTCTTTATTTTTGCGGAAAATTATGGATGCGCGATGTTGCGGTGACCTTTTTATATAACCAAATTATTAAAAGTTTGGTAGATGTTTTAAGAATTGATGTATGTTTAAAGCTTTCTATGTTCCTTGCTGCAGCCGTGTGAAGTATAATTAGATTAGCGTAGACCGCATTTTTTATAATCTATATTTTTAAACTGTAATCCGTACTAAAGTGTATTTATTATTAGTATTATTTCTGTGGATTCGATATTTCTCTTTTTATTGTATGTATATACTCAACTTGTCGTATTGAGGCACCCCTCACGTTGTGTGTTTGGGCACGGTACATCCACGTTCTTTGCTCTGTTCCCCTTTCTATTCCCTCTCTTTAAGTTTTTGACTTCCTTGTCTTTTTATTTGTATACTGTCCTCTTTTCCTTTTTGGTTGAGTTTCTATGCTTGTCTCCAACTAGACGATGACAAAGATGGGTTCTCGAACCTCGCATATTGAGAGACTGCCTCCCTACTCGAGTTTCACCTTTACCCACTCTGTGGGTAGCTCTGCGATATCAATGTACTTCATTTAAGGGCCAGTTGGTCCTACCACAATAAGCTTAACAATATTAACAGACTAACAGCTCCCAAGCAAAGTAAAAAAAAATATTGCACACGAATAACAGTAACTGTTCGAGTTAATATTCGTGTGCTTTACAATTTGATTCAGAGTTTAACCACTGAATAACGTACAAAAATAAAATAGGTCTTTTGGTAGGACGGTAATGCGGTGGTCTTGGTAAATTCACTGTGACCGACTCGCAGCGGTTAATTATAAGCCACAGAATGCGTGATTAAACGTAAATTTTATGATGGGGCAGTCTCCAAGAATATTGTGTTAATTCGAGGTGACAATTAAAGAGGAGAAATTTCACTTTAGCCTTGTTATGTCGTGGTTGAATATAAAGTATGATTTACGAACACCTGTGGCTTTTTTTATGTTAGTCAAGAAATGCGATGGCGCAGTTGTTCACGCAGCATTTTGAGTTCGCGATGCAGAAGTTAAACAACTTTCGATCATAGGATGGGTGACCAGAACTTTAATATCTCGAGTTCCTCCGTGCTTCAGAAGGCACGTCAAGGTGCGGTTTGCAGTCGTTAATCCATTTAACGTGTTTAATAAATTGGTTACCCATCCTCCGAATTGCTGACCGAACGCGATAACCTACTATATCGATTTATTAATGATTGGACAAAATTTATCTAGCTAAATATCATTAGTAATTATGTCGGTGTAACGTTAATATATTATGTTTTTAAATAATATAGCAGAGCGCTCCTTATCTCGAGTGTCTGCGTGATATCAATCCTGACGACACTTCGTATAAATCAGCCAAGTCGGATTTGGTATTTCCTTTTATTACGTGATACAAGAATAAACATAAAAAGCATACAAGCGGACATTTATCAGATAAATTGAAGATGATTGATGCGACAATTTAAAATAGTATTTCTTTTAGATGGTATTAAAGAAATACAGGTAAATTCTTTTAATACGGATTTAGATAAGATTAAATTTTATATAAATTAATTAACATTAATTTCATTTAAATTTACAAAGTATTTTATTAAGCCGCAGCAGCAGCATGTTTTTGTGATTTATATTTACTGAAACATCAAAATGGGTCACCGAGCGACGGTATCGTAAATTATAAATGAACACCGGCGACTTTTCAATACACAAGTCATTTACTAACATTGTGATTCTGGAACTACTATCGAGTGTCATGTCTGTAAAATTTTTAAATAGTATATCCACAATATTAGAATATAAAAAGATATACAGAAAATCTGAATTAAAAGATTTTTTCTTTATATTATCTTTTGTTATCTATTTAGATATAAGGACTTATAGTTTACTATCATTACTTTACAGCATAGCGCTGTCACGGGACTTCAATGAAATATAACCTCTAATACATTTTGAAGTAGGTTTTATTTATTTGTACCTCTACTCTGCGACAGGGTTGTCGATGTCAAGTTCGAATCTGTTTATATTACAGAATAGCACTGTAGATTACAATCTCTCACGAATACATCATTTACACGTACAGGTTTTTTCACACCAATGTTATAATGAATACCATTGTCATAAAAGAATATGATTTATTAGACACAGACTTATATTTTATTTTTAAATCGGACAACATGCCAAAAATTACCTTGTGACTAAAATTGATTAACATTAGTCATATGTATTAGTAAACATACACAATGTTCTCAAAGTGTAATTCTCGTCCCATTACATCCGGAAATAAAAGAGATATACAATTTATAATAATATTTTATATATCACAAATATGTTATCGAATATCAGATTATTAGATATGTGAATGTACCTATATATTTTTAATAACATCATATTACTTATAAAACAATTTCCAATGTAAGTATAAATTTAGTAAATTTAAATAAATTAATAAATAAATAAATTTAAGCGTTACGTAATAAACCAAAAATAAAGATTTATATTTTACTGAAATACGAATTATCGTAAAAGTTATCACTTTCCTTCTTAAGAAGTGTGGAAGGAACTTTTGAAAATTGTACATATCTCAACGCCACTGACTTCTCACGAAGTATTATCCCCCTTTCAACTTTACATCCTCAGTTATTGTATAGTTATGTTAGTAACGACCACAATTTCATATCTTATTACTTTAGTGATGTCCTTAAGGTTAGTTTTTTCCGTTCCAACGATTACAGAACCGTAAACAGCGGTGGTCACATTGGAATATAAACAAGCCATGACAAGTTACTTACGGAAAACGAAATGGTTGTAATAAACCTTAATAGTCAGCGGCGACGAAACAGCTCCATTCACGGTTATTTACAAACAGTACCTAACTCTCCGCGCGTGCTCAGATGCTCTCTTTACACAATGGAAATATAAACTACGATTACTTTAATTTATCGTGACCATCATGTATTCTTTTTTGTTATTGTTGGTCATCCATCACGCCGCTGTCCGTTGCGAAAATTACTTAACCTTAGCGATCGAAGGTCGAATGTACTTATCGCTGCGGCATTGGATTTTTTTATACGAATATATCAATAAAATAACATCACTTTAATTCCAAAAGTAGATTAGACAGCATATTCTGAGAGAATTGAAAACAGCGACGCAAATAAAAATATTCTATACCTTAATTCCGATAACAGGAATTAAAGCTCGAATCTAGAAAATACAAGGAATCGAAGCCGATTATTGCTATCAGAAACTGGCGGGTCTTGGAATTATCGGGTTGGCACAAAAGTTATGAGACACTTGGTTTAAGTTTTTACTTTTTTATTATTATTACAATAAAAAAAGTTTAGTCAATGATGTAATTACCATTAGTATCT